AAAAGCAAAACGGCCGCGATTTGAGTCTTACCCCATGCCCCCATGCAGGAGACTTCCTCCTGCCAGTACCCATGTCGGCAATGGGCACGCGTCTAGATCCAGAATCCCTTCGTGTAGCAGTGGCCCTCCGCCTTGGTGCCCCAATTCACACTGAGTACAAGTGTATTTGCAACAGGGTGGAAGCAGACCAATACGGACTGCATGGGTTGCATTGTGGAAGCACAAAGGGCTGGCATGCAAGACACAACGAGGTCAATGACATCATCAAGAGAAGCCTCGTCTCAGCTGGGTGCCCAGCGGAGAGAGAACCTCGCATCCTAGGGGTCCAAAACCCGGATTTCCCCGCACTTCGCCCTGATGGCATCACCATATATACCCCAGGAAAAGGGGCAGACAGTTGGTGTGGGATTACACGTGTATATCCACCCTGGCTGACACCTGTATAGACTTCGGCGCTCATCAAGCAGGTGGGACAACCAACCACAGGGAAAGAGCAAAATCAGTCAAAAACAGGCGACTGGAAGGCGTTTCAGCGCCTCAGTGTGGCGATCCAGAGGGGAAACGCCTGCTGCATCCTCGGTTCCTGTCCGGAAGCGGAGGAGCTCCAAGAGATCCATAACCTTTAAGCACTCTTTGTATCAAGTAATGGACATCTTGTAACCTTTAATTTTATAATAAAGCAAGAAAAAACACAAAAGGAAAGGGGTGATAGGAGAAAAGCACACATAAACTGTATTGGAGGGGACCTAAACATTCCCTCTAATGCGTTGTGTGGTTTCCTCCGAGGCTATGGGGCCCCCTTCTTCCAGCCAGAGGTGATTTCTCTCTCTCTCTCTCTCTCTCTCTCGACCCATTGCCGTTGGTAATACCCCTCGCCGCCTAGTTTCAAGGGCTGTTGTCAGAAGTATCTGAACGGAAGCAGCCACCATGCTGCAACCCAACCAGCTGGGGTTTGGAGTCCCCCAAGGCTGTGAAGCAGCGGCTCATGCTGCACGAGCCTACATTAGCTCTCTTACTGAAGACCAGGCAGTAGTAAAATTAGATTTTAAAAACGCTTTTAACTCGGTCAAGAGGGAAGCAATCCTCACTGCAGTCCAGGAACATTGCCCAAGCATTCTCCCGTTTGTGTCAGCAGGCTACAGCAAAGACTCAACCCTCCTGTTTGGCAAACATGAAGTCACCTCAGCAGAGGGAATTCAACAGGGAGACCCACTTGCACCGTTCCTCTTTTGCATAGCGGTTCGAGAAATTACAACCAGACTGTCCAGTGAGCTCAACATCTAGTTCCTGGATGATGGCACTCTGGCAGGCACACAAGATTCCCTGCTGGAAGACCTACAGCTGGTGAAGACACGGGGGGAGTCCATGGGTCTAGTTCTTAACCCCTCCAAGTGCGAAATTATTGCATTCAGTGAAGTAATTATTAGAGCAGTGAAATCAGTTTTACCAGAAGCCTCAGTCGTTAAACCTACCGACAGCACACTACTCGGAGCACCTCTGGGCCACAATGTATTGCTGCAGTCCTTGACGAAAAGTTTAGAAACCTAAAGAGGATGGAAGAGAGAATAGGGGACTTGGACTCCCACGATGCCCTCTACCTTCTCACAAAGTGCCTTACCTTGCCCAGGCTAACATACTTCTTAAGGTGTGCACCAACTTTTGGCAACCCACTTCTACATCAATATGATGAGCTCCTCAGGTCAATATTCAGGAAGGCGCTTAACCTAGATTTAGACGACAGTCAGTGGGACCAAGCAACACTCCCAGTGAGATTTGGAGGGATAGGCATACGAAAGGCAACTGAGGTAGCACTTCCAGCATTCTTATCCTCATGTACAGCAGCCAACGAATTGGTAGGGCAGATCCTACCAGAGAGTATGAGAGAGACAGCGGGAACTCATGATCAAACGTTCATCGAAGCAGCCAGACAATGGGACACCATTGCACACCCTCAACCCCGACCACAAGTCCCAAAAGACCACAAGCAGGCCCACTGGGATAGCCCCATAATGGAAAAGACTGTCACAGCAATGATTGACAACGCTGATGCTGAAAACAAAGCCCGCCTCCTAGCGGTAACAGCACCCCACGCCGGGGATTTTTTATTTGCTGTGCCCAATGCAGCCCTGGGAACTCGCCTCAGTCATGACGCTCTCCGCATTGGCGTTGCCCTTCGCCTTGCCGCCCCCATCCTCACCGAACATAGGTGCATCTGCGGAACTGCGATGGCAGACCAATATGGTCGTCATGGTCTGGTATGTCGTAAATCACAGGGTAAAATTGCAAGACATGAAGAAGTCAACGACATCATCAAGAGGAGCCTCGCCACAGCCCGCTGCCCGGCACAAAGAGAACCACACTTATCCAGACCTAACGACCCTCAGAAGCGCCCTGATGGGGTCACCTTGCTACCTTGGAAGGATGGTAAGCAAGTGGTATGGGACTACACGTGCGCTGCCACACTGGCCAGTACCTACCTCCACTACAGCACACGTGAAAGCGGTGGTGCTGCTTCTTTCAGGGAATCGCAGAAAATTATTAAATACAGAGGTCTAGCACACTGCTACAGCTTTGTTCCGATCGGCTCGGAGACCCTCGGTTCGTGGGGAAAATGTGCATTGAAGTTCCTGAAGGAATTGGGGGACAAATTGATCAGCGCTACAAAAGACCAGAGAGCAAAAAGTTTCTTGTTCCAGCGCCTCAGTGTTGCGATTCAGAGGGGAAATGCCTGTTGCGTCGTGGGCACTAGTCCAACTTCAGAGGAATTCGAAGAAGTGTTTGACTTGCAACAATGATCGAACCCGTCTGTGACATTCATCAATTTTTCCCATTGTTGTGTTTTTCAAGAGATCCATAACCTTTAAGCACTTTTTTATATCAACCTTTGTATATCTTGTAATTATTAAATACATAATACAGCACAAAAAACACATAAGGAAGGGAAGGGGGTGGTAGGAGAAAAGCACACAGAAACAGTATTGGAGGGGACCTAAAAATTCCCTCTAATGTGTTATGTGGTTTCCTCCGAGACTATGGGACCCCTTCTTCCAGCCAGAGCTGGTACTCCCTTCCCTATATTTAAAATATATATATATATATATATATATATATATATATATATATATATATATATATATATATATATATATATATATATATGTATATTATTTATATATACAGGGTGTCCAAAAATGTATGCACATTTTAACAGGTATTCATTGTGACCGGGGACAAGCAGCCAGAGTATATTCATACACTCAAGGGGTATAAATACACCTGTGACTGAGTGGATAGCGTTTGGGACTCGTAATCCTTGGGTCTGGGTTCGATCCCCGGGCAATGGCGGGAAAACAAATGGGCAGAGTTTCTTTCATCGTGATGCACCTGTTCACCTAGCAGTAAATAAGTACCTGGGAGTTAGACAGCTGCTACGGGCTGCTTCCTGGGCGTGTGAGAAAAAAAAAGATCGTTGATTGATTGACAGTTGAGAGGCGGGACTAAAGAGCCAGAGCTCAACCCCCGCAAGCACAACTAGGTGAGTACACGGTAGGCACATAATAGCGAGGTTTTCCCCCCATACACTTTCCTGAGGCCCGGGATTCGAGCCCGGAATTCCCGATTTTAAAGTCGAGAACAAACCCACCTCTACTACCGGAAAAAGATTGATATTTCTTTCCAATCAGGTGGATTGGATGCAGCGGTTTCGTAGAAGGCTCTCCTCGCTCACCCTCACACCTCTACATTTGTTTAGTTTTTTTATAATGGAGATACTTAAACGATAATAATAAAGTTTATACCCATCCCTATAGGTGGCTTCTTGGGGAATGGTCACCTGATACATCTGTTTACCTTACAGTATATACAGGCACCAGACATCTGTTGCATGTTTGAGGGAGAGTCACTAGTTAATATAACGTTGTGGATTATATTATTGTCGCGGGAGTTACAGTATTGTATGAAGACAAGATTCGCTACACATGTTTAAATTATAACTTTTATATAATTATAAAACCACCATATATATATATATATATATATATATATATATATATATATATATATATATATATATGTGACTTATTAACTAACATATATATATATATATATATATGACTTATTAACTAACTTATTAAATTTGCGAGAACGGGTTGCATATATATATTTTTTGTTTACCTGAATTTACCTGAGGGCCACGAACACTATAGTGGGCTCGACGAGGACAAGAAGCCAGCGGCTTGTCGAAGGTGATTGATTGATAAAGATTAAGCCAAGAGGTGGCACGGGCATAAATATGTCGAAGGTTGTTGTTGTTATAGATTCAGCTACTCGGAACAAGTTCCAAGCAGCACGGGCTATGGTGAGCCCGTAGTGGACTTACCTGGCACAGGAGCGGGGCAAGTAGCACGGGCTATGGTGAGCCCGTAGTGGACTTACCTGGCACAGGAGCGGGGCAAGTAGCACAGGCTATGGTGAGCCCATAGTGGACTTACCTGGCACAGGATCGGGGCAAGTAGCACGGGCTATGGTGAGCCCGTAACTTACCTGGCACAGGAGCGGGACAAGTAGCACGGGCTATGGTGAGCCCGTAACTTACCGGGCACAGGAGCGGGACAAGTAGCACGGGCTATGGTGAGCCCGTAGTGGACTTACCTGGCACAGGAGCGGGACAAGTAGCACGGGCTATGGTGAGCCCGTAGTGGACTTACCTGGCACAGGAGCGGGACAAGTAGCACGGGCTATGGTGAGCCCGTAGTGGACTTACCTGGCACAGGATCAGGGCTGTGTGTGTGGGGGAGGTGTCGAAGGTCCCTCCCCCGTCCTTATATATCCCCTAAGGGGATGGATGGAGGGGATTGGGGAAGATTTAAGGGGGTGTGGTGGGGGGACAAGCCTTACGCCAGGTATATACACATCAGTTACATATATGCCTGGGGACCATTCAGGCATGTTCGCACATATATACTGTGAGGAGTGTGGTGGGCGGCTCAGTAGGTCCTCAGCCGAGGTGCGGGCAGGTTGTGTGCAGAGTCAGTGGCTGCGTCGTGGCCAGGACTGCTGTGGCTGCAAGTACTCCGCGCTCGCTCCGCCTCTCTTGGTATACATATGTATATATATATACATATACCACAGCCGTGGCAGGTCTAGTTAATGGCCTTCGTCTACCCGTTTCCCCATTAATGGCTGGCTGACAAGTGTGTGTGTGTGTTAATGGTTTCGAGTGACCGTAAATTTGTAAGCGGTGGGGCACAGATTGCTTCTTAATGCCCACAAGTGCCCAGGTGGGTATACTCTGCCCAGGTACCAAACGTTTATCAGTGACAAGAAAATTTTAAACCTTGGTAATATACAATTTATGAATAACAGTAGAAAATTATATATATAAAAGTGACTCTAAAAAAATATGAGAAATATCAAAAGTCGAACCGAACTTTTACAATTAATATAGAGATTTTCTAGTGATGCGAATTCTGGAATTATTTGTGTAAACCTCATTATCTTCGCCGCGTTGAAGTCTCTACGAGTTAAATATTTTATCATCTGACTGAGTTTACCTCGATCATGACTAAAGTATACTTGTAAGTTGGTTAGTGAGTTATTGTGGTGTCCTTAATAACCCTCCTGGCATGATTACCACCAATTCGTTGTGAAAATGACGTGAATATTGTAAATTTCTTGTTAAAATGATACTTGGTCATTTAAAGACAAAATTATTAGCCCTTACGAGGCCGCTCATGTTGATCTCCACCCAAACTCATTTATTAGTATAAAAAAAACCCACACGTGTGTATATGGGAAATTTATGTAAGGAATTTACGCTAAGTCTTTCGCACTCTCCTGAGTTGTTAAGATCTGAGTGTGTGATTAAGATAAGGCTTGCATCTCAATGTCTAATGAGGGTGCTATCCGTTGTTGTTGTTATAGATTCAGCTACTCAGAACGAAGTGTCCATGTAGCACGGGCTATGGTGAGCCCGTAAAGCTGTTATCCTGAGTCTAATCCTCTTATCCATCCTGACCGCCTAACCAGGTCACCTTTATTCCCAACTACTGATGTACCTGCGGTAATGTCGTCTACAAAAATATAGTCATGTGTTCTTCCTGTAATCCTGCTATTCTGAGAAATGGAGTTGTTATTAAGAGAGGTGTTCATCTGGATGCTGGAGTGTTACGAGGGATAACAACCAGATGAACAAGCTATAATAATAACAACTCCGGTTCCCAGCATAGAACGATTACAGAAAAAACACACGTCGATATTTCCGTAGAAAGTGTTACCGCAGGTACATCAGTAGTTGGGGATAAAGATGACCTGGTCAGGCGATCATTAAGGATAAGGGAATTAAGCCCAGGATAACAACGTCATTAGACATGGAGCTGCAGGACTCGTCCTCACCACACACTCAGACCTTGACAAAGCACTCAGGAGTGCCAAAGATTTAGCGTAAATTCCTTACATAAATTTTACATATACACACATGTGGGTTTTAAAATGAGTAATAATTATACAAATTTATATTTAAAATTATATAGCCTATAATACAGTGGTAAATTGTAACAGAGTATGTATACTTTAACAAGGCCACTAATGCATGGAACATTGAAGGGATATAATGCCTAAACTCTCAGTGCATATACACTGAGAACCTTTGAATAGCTCTCAAGTGTACGTATTAGCTAGTAGATATAGATAAGCTAGTAGATATAGTCTGTAAAACAAGACAGTCACCATAGATATAGAGTGTACACAAGATACAACCACCACAGAGTCACCATAAACACCACACAACCACCATAGTCACCATAAACACCACACAACCACCACAGTCACCATAAACACCACACAACCACCACAGAGTCACCATAAACACCACACAACCACCACAGTCACCATAAACAACACACAACCACCATAGTCACCACACAACCACCAGAGTCACCATAAACAACACACAACCACCACAGAGTCACCATAAACAACACACAACCACCACAGTCACCATAAACAACACACAACCACCACAGAGTCACCATAAACAACACACAACCACCACAGAGTCACCATAAACACCACACAACCACCACAGTCACTATAAACAACACTCAACCACCGCAGAAGTACTGTACTGAATGCAGTAGTCCAACCACACTGAGTACTGACGTATTCGACTATCAATTGTATGTAAATACTAAACTATATAAATATTATCTCAACATTTGTCTGACTCACAGTTGCATTTATTAAACGAACAAAAGTTAAAAAGAAAATTATAAGGAAAGGAGGCAGACAGTACATTAGCGTTGGCAAAATGTTATAGGTTTCACAAGGTCAATCCGCGCGGCAAAAACTAGTCCAGTTGAAGTGGATTGAAGTCCTTCACTCTGTGTCGTGTGAAGGAAATGATTAATAAATGAATAAAACTTTTAATATAAATAAAATTGTCAAAATTTTTACAATTACAAAAGGTTTAACTGTTCTTTTTGAAGTAGATTGTAATTCCGTATGGTTGAGTTAGGCATAGTGCACAATATTGTATATATATTGTATTTATAAATGTCTGAAAAGGTATACTCAGTTTCTCAGTGAATATACACTGAGAGGTATACTTTTGTCCTGGACAATGTTCAGGAGTAAAGTATATTGCTGGTTGATCAACAAGCAGTAGATATAATTAATGATATCACTTGCTTGTGGTCAAGTCCACTACGGGCTCACCATAGCCCGTGCTACTCGGAACTTTTTGTTCCAAGTAGCGAATCTTAAACAACAACAACTTGTGGTCTTAATAACCAATTAGAGCGTCTTGATAAGCCTTTAACAAAGATGCTAGAAGTGCAGTAGACATATGTTAAGATTGTCGTGACTATAATCTTCCAATTTCTTAGAAGAATACGACCAGGTGTGTGACTACCAACAACAAGTTCATTACCAACCTGTAATGACTCGTTCCTTACATATTATTACAAAAAAAATATGTAACGAACTGAAATATAAATACATACGTTTTATGTAATAAAAATAATTAATATATATAGTATTAGGTAAGTTAGAGAAAGTTTAAGACACGTTAGATATGGTATAACGAAAGTGTGGCATGACTAAAGGCAAGTTAAGCTTTGTAATAAAGCATATTAGATAAGATTTAGGTAAAGTTTGGCTTCACATAACCATGTATTAACGATATTAAAGTGTGGTTAAGTACGGGTGGGTGTAGATGTGTATAACAATCATATGTGAGGAACGAGGTACTCAATGTGTAAGTCCACTGTTGATATTTGTAGTGAATTAAAAGTAGAAAAACATATTTGTAGTGAATTAATAGTAGAAAAATATATTACATGTGACCAAGGCCACAGCTTGCGGAGTGTAGTTCATCTTTACTGAGGTCCCGCTGTCTGATTTACTCAGCGGATCAAGGGGGAAGTTCCACACTACGGCTTGCGCTATGATCTGTAACTCTATGCTCTGTATATGGGGTCTATGGTCTGTGACTATGGTCTACATATGGGGTCTATGGTCTGTGACTATGGTCTACATATGGGGTTTATAATGCAATGGACATCAATCTATACACTCTGCCGCTTTATCTAGAGGTACACAGACCTATGTCCGAGTTTACACTCGACGCCTTGCTATGCCCAACCACTTGGGCTGGACGGTAGAGCGACAGTCTCACTTCATGCAGGACTGTGTTCAATCCCCCCCCCGACCGTCCACAAGCGATTGGGCACCATTCCTTCCGTCCCATATCCTGATTCCTTACTCCCGTGTTACATAGAATTGGCATAACTTTAGCGCTTTCTTCTGATAGTTAGCTTCTTTGTCCGGCGTCTTGGTATTCTGATTGGTTGCATAACAAGGCGTATGCCACTCAGATAAGCCATAGGTCACCTTTGTCTAAGTGTACGGGCGCGCTGAATATGTATGACACCATCCGTTGTAAATATGTAGGAGCTGTGTGGGTCGGTATGCATGTATATACGGCAGAGTATGTATGTATGTTTATAGCATTAGGAGGAAGGGTTACTGTATTCAACAGGGATATACAACAACGTGAAATGTATATATTTAGATTCTTGGTGTATATTCACTGAGATATTTAATATTTTAGTATTGAGCTATGTTCAGGATTAAAGTATATTTGTTTGTTGGTCAGGAAGTTATTGTGGTGTTAATAACCCTCCAGAGGTTGATTGGTCTTGATAACTCTACAGAGGTTGATAGTCCTTAATAACCCTCCAGAGGTTGATAGGTCTTAATAACCCTCTAGAGGTTGATAGGTCTTAATAACCCTCTAGAGGTTGATAGGTCTTAATAACCCTCTAGAGGTTGATAGGTCTTAATAACCCTCCAGAAGTTGATAGGTCTTGATAACTCTACAGAGGTTGATAGGTCTTGATAACCCTCCAGAGGTTGACAGGTCTTAATTACCCTCAAGAGGTTGATAGGCCTTAATAACCCTCCAGAGGTTGTTAGGTCTTAATAACCCTCCATAGGTTGATAGGTCTTAATAACCCTCCAGAGGTTGATAGGTCTTAATAACCCTCCAGAGGTTGATAGGTCTTAATAACCCTCCAGAGATTGATAGGTCTTAATAACCCTCCAGAGGTTGATAGGTCTTAATAACCCTCCAGAGGTTGATAGGTCTTAATAACCCTCCAGAGGTTGATAGGTCTTAATAACCCTCCAGAGATTGATAGGTTTTAATAACCCTCTAGAGGTTGATAGGTCTTAATAAGCCTCCAGAGGTTGATAGGTCTTAATAACCCTCCAGAGGTTGATAGGTCTTGATAACCTTCCAGAGGTTGATAGGCCTTAATAACCCTCCAGAGGTTGATAGGCCTTAATAATCCTCCAGAGTTTGATAGGCCTTATAATAACCCTCCAGAGGGTGATTGGTCTTAATAACCCTCTAGAAGTCGATAGGCTCTTAAACTACACCAAACGAAATCAATTACGTAATTAGCAAACAAAAAATATGTAATAATTCCTCAGTCTTTTATATTTACTCTTTACTTAAAAAGTAATAAGACTTTCCCTCTCGAAGAAGGAAATTTGGCACCAGCGCATTTCATGGACAACAAGTCTTGTCCGAATCCTCTCATCACCCTATCCTGGCAACTGGTAGATCCTGTTTAAATATTCTTATCACGCGAATATCCTGCGTTACAAATGTAGACAGGGTTTAACCCATCTTCCCAGAGTGAGCTATATGACAGTAACAGAGCAGAGAAGACCCTTATTAGGTCGCAACATAGGTGACATCTTGAATGTTAAAGACGAAGTCGTCGCGCGTTGAGATGCTCTCCCCTGGAGTTACCCTCTTGACGCGAAGATTTGGAGGTTATTTTGGCGGGAATTTCCACATCTCCCGTTATGTTAATATATAGAGAATAATGATCCCTAAAACTGACATCCTGTCATGATTACCACAATTTTTATATAATTTTTTTGGGTAATTTGAAAAACTATGATATTTTTCTTTTAACGCGCCAGGGAAAAATACGGAGAATTTTATATCTAACGATAAAGTGACTTATTTAATATCGTTTAGGTGAGTTATTTGGATATCGCAAAGGGGTAATTACAATGATATCGACCGGTATATCGATATAAATATATTCTTCAGACTTATATCATGCCCCCCCCCCCCACACAAGACCCTCAAAGCAGTTAACTAACTCCTGGGTATATACCTAGTTTCTGCTTGGTGAGTAGAGGCATTAGGTGAAACGGAAACGTGCCCAACTGTTTATGTCTTATCCGGGACTCGATCCCTGGACTCCCACTTGTGTTACATAGACACCAGACCTGACCTTGATAGCGTTGCAAAGCTGCTATCTGGGATATCGTAATTGGGTTGGTGTGTGGGTGATATGGGTGCTTGATATCGATGGGAAATTAATGTATTTTATATAATTGGGAGCATTATATATTAAGGCCTATCATCCTCTGGAGGGTTATTAAGGCCTATCAACCTCTGGAGGGTTATTAAGGCCTATCAACCTCTGGAGGGTTATTAAGGCCTATCAACCTCTGGAGGGTTATTAAGGCCTATCAACCTCTGGAGGGTTATTAAGACCTATCAACCTCTGGAGAGTTATTAAGACCTATCAACCTCTGGAGAGTTATTAAGGCCTATCAACCTCTGGAGGGTTATTAAAGCCTATCAACCTCTGGAGGGTTATTAAAGCCTATCAACCTCTGGAGGGTTATTAAGGCCTATCAACCTCTGGAGGGTTATTAAGGCCTATCAGCCTCTGGAGGGTTATTAAGGCCTATCAACCCCTGGAGGGTTATTAAGACCTATCAACCTCTGGAGGGTTATTAAGACCTATCAACCTCTGGAGAGTTATTAAGACCTATCAACCTCTGGAGGGTTATTAAGACCTATCAACCTCTGGAGGGTTATTAAGGCCTATCAACCTCTGGAGGGTTATTAAGACCTATCAACCTCTGGAGGGTTATTAAGACCTATCAACTTCTGGAAGGTTATTAAGACCTATCAACCTCTGGAGGGTTATTAAGACCTATCAACCTCTGGAGGGTTATTAAGACCTATCAACCTCTGGGGGGTTATTAAGACCTATCAACCTCTGGAGGGTTATTAAGACCTATCAACCTCTGGAGGGTTATTAAGACCTATCAACCTCTGGAGGGTTATTAAGACCTATCAACCTCTGGAGGGTTATTAAGGCCTATCAACCTCTGGAGGGTTATTAAGGCCTATCAACCTCTGGAGGGTTATTAAGACCTATCAACCTCTGGAGGGTTATTAAGGCCTATCAACCTCTGGAGGGTTATTAAGACCTATCAACCTCTGGAGGGTTATTAAGACCTATCAACCTCTGGAGGGTTATTAAGACCTATCAACCTCTGGAGGGTTATTAAGACCTATCAACCTCTGGAGGGTTATTAAGACCTATCAACCCACATATGGGGGTGTTGACGTTTGGAGAGGTTGGTCATGGTAGAATTCATGGGTGACGTTTCCTTGTGTAGTGTTGCAATGGCTGGTCCAATTGCTTCAGCTTGTGTCTACAATACTGTGAGACTGAGCCGCGTGCTCTAGTGTCTAGGATATTTATTTCTTATTAATAGATTAAAAGTATGAACTACGTCGAGATTTGGCAATTACAGGTTGAAGACATTGTCTTTAGTGGCTAAAATTGTCTGCTGGCAACCAGGAAATACCAGCTTCCGTCTGCGGGGTCACATAGGCTTTCAGCTTGCTTCCTGTACGCAAGTGTAATGTTTTATATGAATGATTTCTATAGCTATATAACAGTTAAAAATATTAAAAAAAAGTGATTTTTACTGAGGACTTCTCGCAAGTCTGACCTTGAGATGTGGCTATAGTCAGCAATATATTCGCTTGCGATAAAAGTTTGACATATAGTCAAAATAATGCTACTATTACCAAAATTGTCATGATAGCATTTGAGCGACAAAGACAAAATGTGGATAGAAGTTACATATAATTATTTGAATCATACGGACAGTGGCGTCCCGGGAAGCCTCGCCCAGAATGCTTACTCATGCCAGCCTTGAGATCACTCAAGGGATCAGATGAGTCAAATATTAAGAGTTCGGTGAAATATATTTATATATATATATATTCATTTTTGTCATATCATTTTACTAATTCCTGAGTACCTATTTACTGCTAGGTGAACAGAGGTATCAGGTGATAGGAAACGTTGCGAACCATTTTTTTATCTCTAGGGATTCGAAGTCGGGATTCCCGATTGAGAGTCGAGAATAGACCCGACCCCCGCCTGACCCCACCGGGGGTCAGGAGAACTGTTTCACTGAGCTAAGGTCATATATATACTCGCTGATTGGTCAGAAAGCTATACTTGAGGTGAACTTAATAACCCTTCAGTAGATTGATAGGCCTTAAGCCCAACACTAATTCCATTCATCTGGGCTATAGGAGATACGAATCGTGGACCCCGCGTGTGGCCGAAGCTCCATCGACTGAGCTACTGAGAAGTCTTAATAAAAACAGTTTTCCGTCACCAAGCTCAGGCGAGAGTAATGCCAGGTCCTCAGTCAGCTCAGGCGAGAATAATGCCAGGTCCTCAGTCAGCTCAGACGAGAGTAATGCCAGGTCCTCAGTCAGCTCAGGCGAGATTAATGACAGGTCCTTAGTCAGCTCAGGCGAGAGTAATCCCAGGTACTCAGTCAGCTCAGGCGAGAGTAATGCCAGGTCCTCAGTCAGCTCAGGCGAGAGTAATGCCAGGTCCTCAGTCAGCTCAGGCGAGAGTAATGCCAGGTCTTCAGTCAGCTCAGACGAGAGTAATGCCAGGTCCTCAGTCAGCTCAAGCGAGAGTAATGCCAGGTCCTCAGTCAGCTCAGGCGAGAGTAATGCCAGGTCCTCAGTCAGCTCAGGCGAGATTAATGCCAGGTCCTCAGTCAGCTCAGACGAGAGTAATGCCAGGTCCTCAGTCAGCTCAGGCGAGATTAATGCCAGGTCCTCAGTCAGCTCAGACGAGAGTAATGCCAGGTCCTCAGTCAGCTCAGGCGAGAGTAATGCCAGGTCCTCAGTCAGCTCAGGCGAGAGTAATGCCAGGACCTCACTCCTTCCCCTCACGGCCCAAACCTGAAGTCAACACATTTTCTGTATATTAACTTTGGTACTTTTAATATTATTCTCCATACTCAAGGAAATCAGTATGATTGAAGTACTAAATGCTGGTCCATATCTCTTGTCTCCTTAGCATGGACCTCAGTAGGTTCAGCGGGCTGGCTTCTGTCCTTACGCTAAGGCTAAATCACTACAATTTAGAACCTTGTCGTTTCCCAATTCTTTTAGTCACTTTAGCGAGCCGCTTCTATTTCCTAGTACGACGATATTTTTTGGCCTTAGGTACGAGTATACGTAAAAAATGCGACGTTCTATGAGGAGGGCGAGTTGGGGGCCAGAACTGGTTGTCCGCCTGGATCACAGGGTTTCGGCGGACTGTGTACTCATCTAGTTGTGCTTGCGGGGGTTGAGTTGTGGCTCTTTCGTCCCGCCTCTCAACTATCAATCAACTTTATTTTTTCACACCCACCCACAGGAAGCAGCCCGTAGCAGCTGTCTAACTCCCTGGTACCTATTTACTGCCAGGTGAACAGGGGGCATCAGTGTGAAAGAAACTCTGTCCATTTGTTTCCGCCATCGTCAGGAATCGATTCCCGTTCCCTATGATTGCGAATCCCAAGCGCTGTCCACTCAGCCACCAGACCCCCCCCCCACACACACCAGGTGTGTGTGTGTGTACTCACCTAGTTGTGCTTGCGGGGGTTGAGCTCTGGCTCTTTGGTCCCGCCTCTCAACATGTTGATGTGTGTGTGTGTGTGTGTGTGTGTGTGTGTGTGTGTGTGTGTGTGTGTGTGTGTGTGTGTGTGTGTGTGTGTGTGTAAAGTATTCCGCCCCGGTGTGTTCTGAGTGCTAAGAATACCAATGATAATCACTCCCTGGAGATGTGGATGGTTGTGTCTGCTGGCAGTCAACAGTTAAGCCACAATTATATATTAAGCACCGTGATTTTGTACGATTTAGAAGTTACGAGAACTTATGAGATTACAACTTACCAATTATGAGATTGCAATGTATTTAGGTCTGATTAAGGTACTTACAATATCTTCCTTGCCAGAAAGATAATGACTGTAAATAACAATTCTTCTTCATATAGCAAATGTCGATTACAACGTAAAAATTAAACTATATATATAAAAAAATTAATTCCTTTATTTCATGAGAAACTATATAAACCTTATATATGCGTTCAGTAACTTTTGGCAACGTTTACTATGGTAAAACAAACTATAAATTATTTAGTTAATATTTCAAGTGTGTTTTTAACAAACGAAACTAAACATTATAATATTCGCGATTGTAAATATTAAGCTCAAATACAACTACTCAAAAACTTTTGATATTGAAACTGAGCCGATGTCTGAAATTTCGTATCTTACAGCTCAAATATGTTAGTATTGCCTCCACGACCAAATATCCCAAAGAAATCAACTTAGTGACATCGAGCCATCAAAATTTTAGTGCATTCAAGCAGTCAGTCTCTCTAACACTTCCTAATGCACCAATTTTGATACAAAAACAACAAGTCGATGACACTTGAAAACAATTTACTCATTCCCGGGACAACTCACACCCACAGCAAGCCTTATATATGTGTCTGGTGTGCTCACGTCAGGCTGAGAAACCCCAAAAATAGGCGCCGTTTTGCGAGTGATTTGTGAATTATAGAAAACGGTGTTTTGAGTGTTCGGGTGAGCATCATGGAGAATAATGAACGGACGAAGAACTGGACTCAAATCATCTCTATAGTATCATTCCTCATGGCCGCAGTCCACAAGATATCAGCACAGGTGAGCTTTAAATAATTATAAATATATCTATATATATATATGTGTGTAAATCATGAAAATAAACACGTGATTAAAAATGTGACAGTGTCAGACCACGGAGGAAAATTGAAACAGGAATTTCCTTAAGTACTTTCGTATATTAATACATCTTCTGAAGGAGTGAAGATCTACATCTTCAGACTCCTTCTGAAGATGTATTAATATGCGAAAGTACTTAAGGAAATTCCTGTTTCAATTTTTCCTCCATGGTCTGACACTGTCATTCATATATATATATATATATATATATATATATATATATATATATATATATATATATTCTTACAATACTAGTTGATTTTATACCCGCATTAGGTCAGGTGATAATACAATGAAGGTGAAAACATAGGGGGATACATAAGGGATAAACATAGGGCTGCAGAAGGCTTATTGGCCCATACGAGGCATCTCCTATCTAAACACAAAGATTAATCCAGTGTAATTGGCCTGTTATGTTGGACATTGTCTTCTGTGTTGGCATCGATATGTTCTTGTCTTGTCCTTACTCTCATGGTGGGTAGAGTAAATAGTTCCGTGATTTGGGTGTTCATGGTAGGTCGCTCTATTCTTATGTGAATTGCCTCAAGAATTTGAGGCAAAAACATTATAATAAACATTACTAATATTCGTGCAAATTATACAAATAAGTGTAATACACTCTATAGTAAATCACTTCTTTTCTTCACCTTAAAAGTACGAAAATGAGTTTTGGAGAACTCCTATTTCAATTAAGCCCTGATGCTAAGAAAATAGTTAGAGGGATAGAAGCCCTAAACCAGATATATATATATATATATATATATATATATATATATATATATATATATATATATATATATATATATATATATATTGTTTGTAATTAATTATCTAAGAGTATGTGTGTGTGTTTTTCAATATATAATATCATGTCTTATTTATAATTTATATACACAGGATATTTTTGGAAACAAACATATATGTGTAATATTTTAGGTGTATATATATTACGTATATTAACCCAAGAGAAAAACAGGAGTCAACACAACAATTAACAACTCAACCACTACAACTACTCTCCGCTAACAAGCTTTACAACTACAATTCTCAGCAAACAACTCGACTATCACACCACAAACATTACAACCTGCACCACAACAGTCCCAGCAAGCAACCACAACCCCTCTACCGCTTACCACAGAGTGATTGATGAAGATTAAGCCACCCAAAAGGTGGCACGGGCATGAATAGCCCGTAAGTGGTGGCCCTTTTAAGCCATTACCAGTATCAAGAGCTGATACTGGAGATCTGTGGAGGTGCGACTGCACCCTGCGTGACGGGAGATGTCTCCCGTGGCTTACCATATAGTCTAACTACCTTATTAAACAAACTAACTACAATTGTACCTTAGCAAACAACAGTACTAATCAAACGATCAGTATATTCCAGCATTTTATTTGTGGTCAGTAAGCTTTTGAAGCTCCTTGAGCTGGTGAGGCTAAAACTTAACACCGGATCACCATACTTAACTCGTTAATCGACCTACCATAAGAATGCTAATAATTCATTTTATCGGGGACAAGAAGACTGTGAATATATATATCGAGGTCCAGCAATTGACACCCACACCAGGATACAATCCACAACACCTGAATAGCTCCCTATATTACCTATCTAATGCTAGGTGAACAGAGGCATAAGTTTTTGTTAAAGTTTATTTACTACCACAGGCGTGGCCATTTACAATGCTAACCAGCATATAAATATATAACTTTTCTTCTGTCCTTCATGGACAGACTTAGCGATTTGTCAAGACAACTTAAGATGAGGCTAAACTATTTAATTACTTAATAAATAAGATGGGGTTAAACTGGTTAATTCCTGCATGAATGTGAACTAAGTCACGGCAGACGATGTTAATCTAATATGATGAGGTCTACCTATGATCAATTATAGACCTGATCATAACTCATAACTGAAGTAAACTCGGTGTATACATAACGAGAGTAATGTATACTTCTTGGGCATATATACATATAGTAAGAGGGTAAATTTTCCAATATATGCCTCTCCTCTTAGTCATTTATATAAGTTTTCTACTGGGGTTGTCATAGACCTTGATGAACAGTTACAACACAACTATGAAAGTATTATCAAATTATTGAATAGAAAAAACAAAAGTCTCATAAATTTTAATTAACTTTATTAATCTGTTTATTTCCTTAGATAGATAACAAAAGTATTGCTATTTGTCTTGAAACGCGGTACGATAACATTTCCCTGTGAAGATAATGGAATGCACTTGATTAGTGCTGAAAACTCAGGGATATTTTGGAACTTTTTTAGGGTTTCTGATGTGCTCCTGAATGATTATATTCATTGTTCTGGCATTATTATTTGTATTATGTTTATCAGGATATCTTTCCAACAAAAGGGTGCATGGCACTACCGAAATATTATATATTGGAATAACATTCTTATATTATAAATATTACAAAAAGTCACCCGCCCATTTCTAATCCCAAGGGGAAAGAATTAAGTTCCCTACCTTGAAGTCCTCTCTGCCTCAACCCCTTCCTCAAATTTCCTGAAATCCTCCTCGATCAAGCTTCTCTTTATCTCTCTCACACACCTTCACTGATGACAGCCTGCTCTCCTTGGAGCTCTACGGACGCTTACTGTGATAGGCGCTCGACAGCTTAAACGTTGTGTGTATGTGCTTGCGGGGGTTGAGCTCTGGCTCTTTGGTCCCGCCTCTCAACTGTCAATCAACTGGTGTACAGATTCCTGAGCCTATTGGGCTCTATCATATCTACATTGTAAACTATGTATGGAGTCAGCCTCCACCACATCACTGCCTAATGCATTCTATTTATTAACTACTCTGACACTGAAAAAATTCTTTCTAACGTCTCTGTGGCTCATCTGGGTACTCAGTTTCCACCTGTGTTCCCTTGTTCGTGTCCCACCAGTGTTGAAGAGTTTGTCTTTGTCCACCCTGTCAATTCCCCTGAGTCAGTAATTCTACTTTTGGCGGAGGGGGCGATATAAGCCTAACTTATATATATATACACTGACAATCTGTCCCCGACACAATGACTTATTCAATATATCTTTGAAACTAATTTTGGGTATTCTTGAAATAGCTGTTACCACAAGTTATTGTAGGTCTATTATGGAGCTATTGTAGGTCTATTATGGAGCTATTGTAGGTCTATTATGGAGTTATTGTAGGTCTATTATGGCGCTATTGTAGGTCTATTATGGAGCTATTGTAGGTCTATTATGGAGCTATTGTAGGTCTATTATGGAGTTATTGTAGGTCTATTATGGAGCTATTGTAGGTCTATTATGGAGCTATTGTAGGTCTATTATGGAGCTATTGTAGGTCTATTATGGAGTTATTGTAGGTCTATTATGGAGTTATTGTAGGTCTATTATGGAGCTATTGTAGGTCTATTATGGAGCTATTGTAGGTCTATTATGGAGCTATTGTAGGTCTATTATGGAGTTATTGTAGGTCTATTATGGAGTTATTGTAGGTCTATTATGGAGCTATTGTAGGTCTATTATGGAGTTATTGTAGGTCTATTATGGAGCTATTGTAGGTCTATTATGGAGTTATTGTAGGTCTATTATGGAGCTATTGTAGGTCTATTATAGAGTTATTGTAGGTCTATTATGGAGTTATTGTAGGTCTATTATGGAGCTATTGTAGGTCTATTATGGAGTTATTGTAGGTCTATTATGGAGCTATTGTAGGTCTATTATGTGGCATTGTAGGTCTATTATGTGGCATTGTAGGTCTATTATGGAGCTATTGTAGGTCTATTATAGAGTTATTGTAGGTCTATTACGGAGTTATTGTAGGTCTATTATGGAGCTATTGTAGGTCTATTATGGAGTTATTGTAGGTCTATTATAGAGTTATTGTAGGTCTATTATGGAGCTATTGTAGGTCTATTATGGAGTTATTGTAGGTCTATTATGGAGTTATTGTAGGTCTATTATGGAGTTATTGTAGGTCTATTATGGAGCTATTGTAGGTCTATTATGTGGCATTGTAGGTCTATTATGTAGCATTGTAGGTCTATTATGTGGCATTGTAGGTCTATTATGGAGCTATTGTAGGTCTATTATGGAGCTATTGTAGGTCTATTATGGAGCTATTGTAGGTTTATTATAGATCTATTGTAGGTCTATTGTGGGTCTAAAACTCTTGCATTACACACGTAAGATGTTCACCAGGCAGAAAGTGAAGAGGTTCAAGATAAGACCCGGACATCCCATACACAAACCGGTTTGTCTTAAAATGCATAACTAAACAATTATTTAATTAGATATATGTCATTTCCCTAATGTATTTATGGTCATGTATGGGATATATATTGTATTAATTTATTGATTATACAATACTAAGTGGTATATTGTAATATATTTTTAATTGAAGGGGGTACTTTACTTTTTAGATATAATTGTATCTATTTATGGTCATGTATGGGATATATATTGTATTAATTTATTATTTATACAATATTAAGTGGTATATTGTAATATATTTTTAATTGAAGGGGGTACTTTATTTTTTAGGTATAATTGTATCGATATTCCTATATTAATTGTTAATTATTTAACAAATCTATCTTAAATCTAATGTGGGTCCTATTTGATATATTTCTATAATTCAGTTATGCCTCCTAAATATTTTTTTTGTTTCGTTTGAATGTAAATTTTGATTTTTTTAATCCCTCTTTATAAGAAAGATTTCTATTTCCTGGGATTAACTGTCATCTTTTTAAAAAAAACTGGTTACTACTTCCTGATACAAACTTTATCATCCATCTCTGTGTTCAAGTGAATTAACGTCCATTCTATAGTACAGAGACCAAAACTGATATCTATATTCTAAATGGGAGCCTAACAACAACAAGATATCAGGCAGCTGCTATTGGTCCATACGAGGCAGGTCCTATTGGTCCATA